TCTGTGCATTGGAAGTTATAGATTGGTTTTTGATAGTCATTGGGCTGTCTGTTGCACCAAGAATAATGTTAGCGAGAGGATAGGATACATTGTATATGAAGTGATTGGCTACGGGCTTATAAGTGGAGCTGTGCTTGGTATGCATAGTATTTGATTTTGTTTCTACAGAAAGATCCGAATAAATGGTGAAGCTGGCCAGATTTTGTCATGGTCCCCAGGGAATGCAAGACAATCATTAAAGGTGTATGAGTTTAACACTTCGTGACTCATCAAACTTTTAACCTGCAATCTTCAAAGAAATTGATTTGAAAAGTAATTTGCCCATTCTTTTTTAACATGCATGTTCGATATCTTACAGTGATTTGAGCAACAAAGATCATGTCTTGGGCTTTAGTAGTGGCTCCACATGTCTTCTTTATTTATTTATTTATTTATTATTATGATTCATGATCTATTCACATGGTTAATCCTATGATGATACTACTTTACTCTCTAGAGGCTAATACAAATGACAACTGATACTGACAAGCTACTTCTTGGTGTGTATTACCTCCCCATGATTGCCTAATATTGTTGCATTGTTAAACATAACCTTATGTGACAACTTAGTCTTCTTTAATACAGGCAAAACATGGAATTGACTGTCTCGAGCTTCCTCTCATTCAGCACAAGCAGTTGCCTGATTATGATAGACTTCCTTCTGTATTGAGTGGTAAGTTTCTGATGGGTTAGCTTGATGGTTATAATAGATTGTTTAATTTGTTTCAGATTATCTTGATGCTATTGTTCACATTCTGTTCATTTCAGAGACAACTGGTTTTTTTATTTTTATAATGAAGGTTTAATTTGATCTTTTGCCTCATTCTGTTTGTCTGTGATCCCTATTGTGTTTTGAACCATTATTTTATTATCTCGCATCTTTAAAGATGGTTCATACGGGTGCGCATAATATGCCAATGTTGATGTTGCCAAACTTGATTCCTCATTGACCTTAAATAGTCAATATCTTGGACCCATGTCAGATTTGAGAAGAGAGAACAAACTCCTTTTTTGGATGTGAGGCACAAGGTAACAAGGTTATCCATTCACAGGGTCGAAAGTTCACATGGATTAAATTTCTTTATGCAAATATTAGCGGAGGGGGTGGGGGCAGTGGCCCCCACTGTTTTTTGCTTAAAATCATGATTTTGGAAAACTGTTTGCTTTGTTTGACAAAAATTTCTGTAGTTAATTTCTGCCACCACTTAACTTAGTTCCTGGCTCTGCTACTTCAAAAGTCAAAAACTCTCTCTACCCCCATCCACAAACACTTGTTTTATGATAGTTACTTCCATTTAAATTCAAATAGCGGACACGCATTATTATTTTTTCTTGCTTACTGTTTATCTATTGCTGCAGACACTGCATTTGACTGGATTGTCATAACTTCACCTGAAGCTGGTCTGGTTTTTCTTGATGCTTGGAAGTAAGCTTTCTCTTGTACTGCATGTTGTAATATTGAATTATTCCTGTACTTCCTGTGGAGATATTCTGTTTGCATATTTTTCGGTTTCAAAATCTTCCATTATGTTTTTGGAAATATGAGTGAGAAGTATGACAAACAATTATCCAAAGGCAACTAATCAAAAATAATGCAAATCTAATTAGAGATCAGTCTTGTAAAAATAAACTTTAGTTCCTAGAAGAACAAATTTTATCATTTTTATTTCTCATCAGTTATTTTGACATATCACTGGTTTCACCTATCCACTTATGTTAACTTTTGATCCATAGAGCTGCTGGATCTCCAAAAGTTAAGGTTGGAGTGGTGGGAGCTGGTACAGCAAGTGTATTTACTGAAGTTTCGCGGTCCTCAAAGCAATATCTCGATGTTTCCTTTGCACCATCTAAAGGTTCATATGCTAGTTTTAATGTTATTTTAGCCCTATAAAACACTATTAAAGGTCTGAACTTTGTACATGTCTATATGCATTCATCATGTCTCTGTGCATTTTCATATTGTTGCAACATTTTTGTGTACCTCAGTTGCGCCTCAAAGGCCACACAATTGACAGCTGGAATAAAAATAACTCCATTTTAACTTTCAGCAACTGGTAAGGTTCTTGCTTCAGAGCTTCCAAAGCAAGAGAATAGAAGGTGCACTGTCTTATATCCTGCTTCATCAAAAGCTAGTGGTGAGATTGGTATGTGCTACTATATGCCTGGTTTTTAACATTTTTTTTTTTTACCTCTTCCCCCTAATGCATTTGAGCACAATATCTCTCGACGTGAAGGAAGTTCCCTTTAGGCCAGGACTGTCATGACAAAAAATAAACAAATCAAAGGTAAAACTTAAAAGTTGTGTCATCCCGAGGATAATCCTGAGAGGCTGAGAAAAATATCTAGCTTATATTGATATTTTATAATCTGATGTTGACTTGTTTGAAAAGATTATGTGGTTGGTCGAGACATACTGGGAAAAATCCATATTAGATTCTTTCATGGAGCATAATCTGATGACTCAGTTCTAGAGGCAGCAGTGATTAAGAAAAAGAAGTCAAAGATTAT